CTATATTGTGTCTGTGTACCAACCAACATACCAGGCTCCATGTGACCCTGCTCACTGTTTCCTTTCACTGTAGCAGATACTTTGTAGTAGTAGTAGTAGTAGTAGTAGTAGACAGGTAACAGCCTGTAGTCTAAACTGGCTCTTTCAGTATTACTGTTACATAAAGGTTTTGTACTGCCTTTTAAGACTTGGCAGTGTCCAAATATCTTTGTAAGAAGATGCATATAAAGGCTGGAGGTTTTACTCCTGCAGCTGCCAACAATGCAAACATATACAAAAAAACAAGGTACAATTTTCACATGGGCTTCCCAGGTACATGGTAATCCTCTGTGCATTGATTGCCAGATCTTGGGCAGTCACTGTTAACAAATATGGATCTATATGGGTGATTGTATCTAAGATGTTTTTAGTCCTAATCTAAGTGACAGGAATGCTTTAAAACAGACAACCCACTATCAAGAAAAATTAACACCAAAGACTAGTGAGGTTATACTTCACCCAGCACTAATACAAAATTACGTCTTTCTTTCAAAAGGACCTCTTAATAAACATTTATTTTTTTCACATATCATTTATTAATTTAAAACTAATTTTTTATTTACTTAAAAAGGATGAGTAATGTAAAATATAAATCTTTGTATCTTCCAATGGAAAATAATTTTTTGCTGTGTGACTCAGTGGTGGGGGAAGAGGTTCTGGTATATTAGAAGCATACAATGATTGAAACATTAAAGCAGCAGCAATCTTGTTGAATCAAAAGCTGTAGAGATGAAAGAGCTTGAGACATAGCCAGTAGCCCTTATGTGTCAAGGTGGGGTTCAAAAAAGTCATACATAGTGGTTATGATTTATGTCATAATAAACAGATTACTAAAAAGTTAAGCGGTATGGAAAGTATGAGAAGTAAACTTGCAATCTTTAGAGAAAAATTCTTATATAGTTTAACGATAGTTGAGTTTTACTCTTGGGAATAAATATTCTTTTCAAATAATGGTTCACTGAGAATTTGAAAGTTTCTTGTCTAGTTTGAATAAAAATTAGCATATTGTACAATCTGACAGAGGTTATTTTACAGTGGGGCAAAAAAGTATTTAGTCAGCCACCAATTGTGCAAGTTCTCCCACTTAAAAAGATGAGAGAGGCCTGTAATTGGCATCATAGGTAGACCTCAACTATGAGAGACAAAATGAGAAAAAAAATCCAGACAATCACATTGTGATTGTCTGGATTTTTTTCTCTCTCATCTTTTTAAGTGGGAGAACTTGCACAATTGGTGGCTGACTAAATACTTTTTTGCCCCACTGTAGCTGTGAATTACTAATGTATCTTCTGTGGAGTGATAGTCAGGTTTCTAGTTGGGGTATCTACTTCCTGGAGCATTTTTCTCTTCCTCTGTTTCCTCAGAATTACTGAAGTGGGCTTTGCTATTCATTCACTAGGTATTAGTGATGTCCATTACAGAATAATCATTGATTTATACATTTGCATATTTGATTCCCTGGGATCTGCAAAATTTGTGAATTGCAAACTTTTGGACAAAAAAAAGTTTGCTATTAAAGTAAGGAACAGACTATAATACACTTCATTGCCTTTTACTTGGTAGGCTTAATCACAAGGGCCAACAATTTGAAGGAATGGATAACCCATCCCCTTTCTATAAAATGGTGGGTTCCCAGCACCCATATTGCCAGTGTCTGTTGGAACTGTTAGGGAAGACTGTAGTGAAATATATGAGTGCGGTTGATTTTGATTTCACACCGGTGGATGGTGGAAGCACTTTTATTTGGGAGACATTATTTTGATTATAATTCTTTCTGGGATGAAAGAACTTTTGCAAAATATATTTTTTGTGGACACAATTAATTTATTCAATTTTTGGGCACTATATTAAATTGATTATTTCACAATATTTTTTTTGTGATTTATAATATATATTGAATGAGAAGGTCTGTTTATATCTATTTTGTTATGTTGGTGTATTACACTGGTGTACAGCAGCAAATTTTCACTTAGATTATATATTGTAAGGGTTTCTTTGTGCGCTGGGGTTTTGTGATATAATTGTAGTGAGATATACTCTGGGGAATTCAATAACGTTTTTGGTGTTTTCGCTCTTTGACGCCTCTCCACCGGCCATATGCATATATGCGGCCTCTTGGCGGGTGGGCCTTAATGCAGAATGGGTGCATATACAGTTGCAAGAAAAAGTATGTGAACCCCTTGGGATTACGTGGAGTTTTGCATGAATTGGGCATAAAATGTGCTCTGAACGTCATCTAAGTCACAACAATAGAAGAACACAGTCTGCTGAACATAATACTACACAAACATTAGATGTTGCCATGGTTTAATTGCACATAACATGTAAACATTCACAGTACAGGGAGGAAAAGGTATGTGAACCTTTGGACTTAATAACTGGTTGACCCTCCTTTTGGCAGCAATAACCTCAAGCAAACGTTTCCTGTAGTTGCAGATCAGACCTGCACAACGATCTGGAGTCATTTTGGACCACTCCTCTTCACAAAACTGTTTCAGTGTAGCAATATTCTTGGGATGTCTGGTGTGAATCGCTCTCTTAAGGTCATGCCACAGCATTTCAATCGGGTTGAGGTCAGGACTCTGACTGGGCCACTCCAGAAGGCGTATTCTGTGCTGTTGCAGCCATTGTTTTGTTGAATTACTTGTATGCTTTGGGTCATTGTCTTGTTGCATCACCCATCCTCTGCAGAGCTTCAGTTGGTGGACAGATGGTCGTACGTTTTCTTGCAAAATGTCTTGATAAACTCTGGAATTCATTTTCCCATCAATGACAACAATCCGTCCAGGCCCTGAGGCAGCAAAGCAGCCCCAAACCATGATGCTCCCTCCACCATGTTTTACAGTGGGGATGAGGTTTTGATGTTGGTGTGCTGCGCCTTTTTTTCTCCACACATAGTGTTGTGTGTTCTTCCCAAACAACTCAATCTTGGTTTCATCTGTCCACAGTATATTTTGCCAGTAGTGCTGTGGAACATCCAGGTGCTCTTTTGCAAACTTCAAACGTGCTGCAATATTCTTTTTGGACAGCAATGGCTTCCTCCGTGGTGTCCTCCCATGTACTCCATTCTTGTTTAATGTTTTCATTATTGTAGATGTGTCAACAAAAATGTTAGCATGTGCCAGAGATTTCTGTAGGTCTTTAGCTGACACTCTGGGATTCTTCGTTACCTCATGCAGCATTCTGCGCTGTGCTCTTGCAGTCATTTTTACAGGACGACCATGCCTAGGGAGAGTAGCAACAGTGCTAAACTTTCTCCATTTGTAGACAGTCTGTTTTACCGTGGACACATGAACATTAAGGCTTTTGGAGATACTTTTGTAACCCTTTCCAGCTTCATGCAAGTCAACAATTCTTGATCGTAGGTCTTCTGAGAGCTCATTTCTGCAAGGCATGGTTCACATCAGACAGTGCTTCTTGAAACCAGTAAACCCAAAACAGATGTGTGTTTTTTAAGGGCAGGACAGCTGTCAGAAACACATCCAATATCATCACACTGATTGGAGTCAAAGTTGGCTCACTCCTGGCTCCAATTAGCTCTGGGAAAAGTCATTAAGCTAGGGCCTCACATACTTTTTCCTCCCTGCACTGTGAATGTTTACATGTTATGTGCAATTAAACCATGGCAACATCTAATGTTTGTGTAGTATTATGTTCAGCAGACTGTGTTCTTCTATTGTTGTGACTTAGATGACATTCAGAGCACATTTTATGCCCAATTCATGCAAAACTCCACGTAATCCCAAGGGGTTCACATACTTTTTCTTGCAACTGTATGTGTACCTAAACAAAAAGAGAACTGTGCCAAGAGCGCATACCATGCAAGCTTCAGGAACAGTTACCGGCGACAGGAAAGATCCTGATTTCATCTTGCTCTCGGGAGCTTTCTGATCATGTGGCCCATGAGACAGCCAATCACAGAGGTCACATGATCACCAACCATGCCCCGCCTCTTGGCATCTGAAACCCCTTAAAGGTTTGGGAGGTGCCAGTGCCAAGGAGTTAAAATGGTCTGTGCCAGATTCAAAATTCTTTACTGCCTGTTTTGTTAACTTTCCTGATACAAACAACAGATTGAGGTAATTCTTAATAGCATCACAAATTCAAAAATAGCTACCTCCAGTTCATACATAATAAAACTGGAGGTAATTAAGACTTACTCTATGTTGGCATACAGAGAAAGGTAGTGTGCCTATTTCTTTACACTATGTGACAGAGCTGCATATTTGCCGCTCACTACCCCCTTCTCCCTGTCACTGGTTGTGTAGGGGAACTAAAGGCAGGTATACTCACCTTTCCTGCAATGGTCCAAGTCCCTCACCACCACCAGCATGTTCTTCTGTGTGCCAGTTTTTGGCCCTCTCCATTTGGCCAGGGCAGGATGATGTCACTCTTACTCATACACAGGGGCTTGTTATCCCCGCACACAGGGCTCTGACCAGCCACTGTAAGCTGAGATGCACATGTGCTGCCCAGGTAACATGCCAGGGAATGCTGAGAGCAGGCAGGTAAGTGTATCTTATCGCAGAAGACATTGCATTCACTTCTGAAATAAATAAAATCTTCCTGTTTGCAGTGAATAACAGGTAAACTTTATTCCACTTTAAGTGCCTGTTCACATATATGCAAAATGGATGCAGTTTGAACCGCATCCAATCCACATGATGTGAAATAACATTGCTTCCTATGGTGTCTGTTCACATATGTCCAGTACACTGGCAGTGCGAATTCAATGCGGATTCAGTGCGGTTTGAAAAAGAGTCATGTCTGATTTCTGAGCAGTGCCTTCAGGTTCAGGGGCGGATTACAGGCTATTGACTTCTATGGGAAAAGTTTCTAAATGTGTGAACAGGATAAAATTCTGAGCTAGACCTGATGTAAACCTGACAAGAACTGCTGAACAACTACTGTGTCAATTAGCTGTGAAACCTGAGCTAATATCACACTGCATGTGTGTGAATCAGCTCTAAGGATGATTTTGGCTTCCCAGCCAACCGTCTCCCAGAAGCCATAGATGTCACAATCAGTGGATCCTGATGGGAAGTTGAGACTTTAGTTCCCCATCAGGTCTGCCCTCTCCTTGTAATTAACAACAGTCAGGTCATACAACAGGCTGTCTATTGACTAAGAATCTGCCCACTGCCTGCTAACAGTCACAGGGGGAGCAGACCTGATGGGGAACTAAAGTCTCTGAATCCCCATCAGGATCCACCCCTTAGATACAAAATGCTGTCTGTGACAGGTGCAGGGGTGGGGAGAAAGCACAGTTGAATTGAAGCCAGAAAGTCCATATGGACACTTCAGCCTGAGTGTGCCTCCATTAGGAATTCATGCCTTTGCCTACAACAGGTACATGAATCTATCTGCTGAACTGACATTTGTCATGCAGAGACATGCCGGAATTCTAAAGAGTGTCTTAAGCACCCTTTACACATTACCCTGTGTTGTCTTTTTTATCTTTTTTGGCTTTCCATGCCTTTTGTTTGACAAATGCTTGCTTATTAGCCATACAAATGGCCAGTACTTAACATCATGGACTTTAACTGAGTTTGTTCCACAATTTGCAAACATCCAGCATGTTTTGCAAAACTGTTCCTGAATCAAACTCAAGCATATTTTCTTGTACCTACTCAGCAAGGTGAAGTGTAAGCAGTCTACAGATGTTCTGTCATCTATCTAGCTCGTGACCTGAGATTCACAATAAAAATACTAGAATGCAGAATAACAAAATTGTAAATCTGCTAATATATTTATTCCATTGTGTAAGACTATAAGACAGTGTGATCTGCCAATAGTCAATTACCATCTAGCGGTGAAAGGTGCATTTTGCAAATTCTGTTAATCACCTCAAATGGAAAACAGCATTTAACAAAGACAGCCATCCATACATCCAACCTTTCTAGAAGCTTCAAGGTTGGTGCACAATGTTTTTTGTTGTCTTGTAGGACAAACAGATATCAGAAACTTACACTTTTTCAATTTCTGTAACAAGGTAGCACTATACTTACTTTGGTAACATGGAATTACTAACTCTGGTAATATTGTTTCACGCTTAAAAAATTATTTCAGCAACATGGCACAATTCTTAGATCACTATGCTGTCTACTAGCGATGAGCCAAACATATCAGCAGGTAGGTTTCAGTTACTTAGGTTCAGATGCTGAATTCAAACCCAGTTGAAGTCAATGGGCAACTAATCTTAGAAATCAGTAATGGTCATTTTCTATATTAAGAGGCAATGGATTTCCAAACAAGTGGTAGTGGTATGGGGTGGGGGGGGGGTGCAAGAACTGCCCTGGAGGACATGTGTCAAAGCAAAAATAAATAAATAAATCTATTTTGTGAAGAGCAACAATTTTATTAATGTTGAAAGTGAAACATTACAAGTGCAAAATTCCTATAAACAACATATCTGGGGATACCTTAACCTGCCTGTGAAGTGGCACATCTGTATGATGTATACAGCCTACTTCAGCAAAACTGACATTTACAAAGAACAAAGGAAAATGCTGTTGAAATTACCCCCTAAAATAATTTACCAGACCCTGCCCCTTTGTTTGCATTCACTTGTCATTCTCCTCTATTCTATTGGTTTTTAGGTGACCATTGGCTCTCTAGTAACCAGCCTGATCACATCATCTGGGATTCAGAACAGCCACATTTCATGCCAGGGGCGGACTGACCATTGGGGTACTCGGGCACTGCCTGAGGGCCCAGGGTCAGTAGGGGGCCCCATGAGATGCCCCTGGTAACTTTCATAGACTTTTTTGGGTGTGGTTTGAGTGTGGGCGAGGACACAGGGGCCCCATGATCCCCTATTGACCGGGGGCCCCATGAGTTGTCAGTCCGCCCCTGTTTCATGCTAAATCATGGCTCAAAGCCTGGTTCATAGTCGACTTTACCTTATTTAAAATACAATTATAACTATCAGACAACAGTACACCAGCCTTTTCTCTCTAGTTAAGGTCTATTCCTTATTGTTGTCTACTTATACAATATTTACCATTCATCTGCCAATCCAAAGGCCCATCAGTAATAATGTGATCAGCATTTTGCAATACCTTGGACATATGCCTAACACCCTGAAGTTTCTGGAGTCCAAGCTTTATCTTACTTAAGAACTCTGCGGTTTTCCACTCCATCCATGAAGATCAAAGATTACCTATTTAAAGGGTGGATAGTATCACCCTTGACCTATAAAATCATATCACAATGTACCAAGGGCATCTTCTGAGTAAATGCAGAGCCTTAAAGTCACATAGATGCAGATCCTGCTTCAACATACTACTTTGTCTTGCAATTACAGGATCTAAGTATGCTCTTACACTTTTAACATAGTATTACATCAGCCTAGGGAGCCTAGTATTGTAAGGCCAGCACCATGCATTGATCCTTAGTTGTATATTCATAAATTCTATATAACTGTTAAACAGCATTTTTACCTTTAAAATATTATAATTATAATCTGGCAGCTCACTGAACCACTTTGAGTTTCAGGAGCTTGTTCAATGAAGCGTCCAACTCCCAAAAGTCTAAAGAGAGCTGGATGCTTAACAGAACAATACATCTCTTGCTCTGATGCCAGCAGTTGTGTGGCCTGCATTCTTCTATTTAGCATGTTTTGAGAAAGAGATATATCCTTGTAATGGCCCGTGGCTAGTCCTTGTAGTCAATTAGGCCTGAAGCAGTACCATTCCTTGAACTTAAAGTTCCAGTACATTGTATCAAACTTCAGTGGCACAGGGATAGGGGAAGCAGTTTATAAATGGCTATGAAAAGTTATACATTTTGTCATCCATCCCAATGTAATTCTAGGTAGTGGTGTTGTATGTCAAAGTTCAACGTATATTAAAAGGTAAATTGTTGGAGAAATATAAAAAGAATACTGTATTATTTTTCCAGGAAATTTTTTGCTGAGTTCTGTGTTGGTTCTCCTTACCCACTTGCCGTCCGCCTGCTGTTTATAAACGGCAGGACGGTGGCACTCCAGGGGGGGTTGCCGTTCATAAATGGCACCCGCCATTTCTAGCTGTGCGCGCTCCCTTGGAGTGCGCGCAGCACCGGGATCCGGTGTCCTCTGTGTCCTCCGGACACAGTGAAACACCGATCGTCGGACGGGTCCTCTGTATGAGGTCCCGATCATGTGATCACTGATAGGCCAATCAGTGATCACATGCAAAGTAGTAAGCAAGATGTCACTTGTGACATCATTGCTTACTACGTGTGAAATCTGTGAATGATCACAGAGGTCACATGGTACAAGGCTATTCACAACAGCCTTGTACCATGTAACAAGCTGTGACCAATCACAGCTCACTCAGTATTTCTCAATGGCTGCAAGAATGCAGACAGAGAGAAAGAGAAATGATTGCTTTTACATCCTATATGGGTGTAAAAGCAATCACTGTAAAAAAAAAAAAAAATCTTCATCACCCCCCACAAGTAGTACAGTGTCACCATGGTGACACTGTACTGCTAGGGTGACAGTATATAAAAAAAAAAAAAAAAAATAATAATAATATAAAAAAAAATAAAATAAAAATGTAAAAAAAAGTTTAAAAATTATAATTTTTAGTTATAAACTAATTTGGCTTATTTTTGTTTTACTAAAAAGATAACAGAATACATTTTGGCCAAGATTTATGATGAAAGATTATTTATTTGCAAAATGTTATAAGAAAAACACTTTTTTTCAAAATTTTGGAATTTTTCATTAACATAGCAAAAAAAATAAAAATCCCAGTGGTGAATAAATACCACCAAAATAAAGCTTTATCTGTCTCAAAAAAATGGTAAAAAATTCATATGGGTACAGTGTTGCATGACCGCACAATTGTCATTCAAAGTGTGATAGCGCTGAAAGCTGAAAATTGCCCTGGACAGGAAGGGGGGTAAAAGTGTCCAGACAGGAAGTGGTTAATCCAAATCCCATGTAAGAATATAAAACAACATCAGGTTAATGAAAGATTGCTGTGCTGTTACAAAAGTATATACAGTTGTGTTCAAAATAATAGCAGTGTGTTGAAAAAAGTGAATAGAGCTCAAAATCCTTCTAATAGCTTTTATTTCCATACACACAAATGCATTGGGAACACTACACATTCTATTTCAAATCAAAACATGAAGAAAAATATATCAAATTTGTGTTGTTCCCCTAAAAAAAAATTGAAGAAAAGTGAATATTAGACTGTTCAAAAAATAGCAGTGTTTGTATTCTTCTTTACAAACTCAAACATTCACTATATAAACTGAAAAATGTTTGAAGATTTTGCTTTCCTTTGAATCACTTAATTAATATTTAGTTGTATAACCAATGTTTCTGAGAACTGCTGTACATCTGTGTTGCATGGAATCAACCAACTTCTGGCACCTGTGAACAGGTATTCCAGCCCAGGATGATTGGACTACATTGCACAGTTCTTCTCTATTTCTTAGTTTTGCCTCAGAAACTGCATTTTTGATGTCACCCCACAAGTTTTCTATTGGATTAAGATCCGGGGATTGGGTTGGCCACTCCATGACTTCAATCTTGTTGGTCTGGAACCAAGATGTTGCACGTTTACTGGTGTGTTTGGGGTCGTTGTCTTGTTGGAACACTCATTTCAAGGGCATTTCCTCTTCAGCATAAGGCAGCATGACCTCTTCAAGTATTCTGATGTATTCAAACTGATCCATGATCCCCGGTATGCGATAAATAGGCCCCAACACCGTAGTATGAGAAACATCCCCATATCATGATGCTTGCGCAACCATGCTTCACTGTCTTCACAGTGTACTGTGGCTTGAATTCAGCGTTTGGGGGTCGTCTGACAAACTGTCTCTGGCCACTAGACCCAAAAAAAACAATCTTACTTTCATCAGTCCACAAAATGTTGCACCATTTCTCTTTAGACAGTCAATGTGCTCTTTGGCAAATTGTAACCTCTTCAGCACGTCTTTTTTTCAACAGTGGGACTTTGCGGGGGCTTCTTGCAGATAGCTTGGCTTCACATAGGCGTCTTCTAATTGTAACAGTACTCATAGGTAACTTTAGACCTTCTTTGATCTTCCTGGAGCTGATTGTTGGCTGAGTCCTTGCCATTGTGGCTATTCTTCTATCCATTCGAATGGTAGTTTTTTGCTTTCTTCCATGTCTTTCAGGTTTTGGTTGCCATTTTAAAGCATTTGCAATCATTTTAGCTGAGCAGCCTATCATTTTCTGCACTTCTTTATATGTTTTTTTCCTCTCCAAGCAACTTTTTAATCAAGGTACGCTGTTCTTCTGAACAATGTCTGGAACGACCCATTTTCCTCAGAATTTCAGAGAGAAATGCACTGTAACCTGCATGTACAACATTTGCTGCCTTCCTTCCTTAAATAAGGGCAATAATTGCCACCTGTTTTTCAAAGAATGAATGACCTCACTAATAGAACTCCACACTGCTATTATTTTGAACATGCCCCTTTCAATTAGTGATTCAATTACACAGAATCAGCAGCATGCATGTCATGACTGTTGGGTCTGTTGGATTTCTATTACTCTACTACACCTGCTAGTAAATTATTTGCCATGTAGAAATATAATTTCTAACAAAAACAGTGATTGATCAGGTTAGTGATGTCTGACTGCTATTATTTTGAACACAACTGTACGTGCCCCCCCGGTGGTTGGCACTCTCACAAATGTATTTAAGAGAGAAAAGTGTATGTAAACCCTAACAATAATCTTCTCTAATTTGCTCCCTTTTTGTCTGTAAAATATACCTTTGAAATGGTTTTGGTATATATGTTTGATAAGTGCTAAAATACCTGTTGATCATGTCAGAATTTCAGAGCTGCCCATGTACAGTGATCATTTCCTGTGTTTTCCTAAGAAGAGTAAATATCTCTACTAGTCTTTATCTTGGGACTACTGAATAGATAGTCTTTATGTTGTAGAGAGAGTAGGTGGATTTGAGTAGTTTGTCCAGAGAAAACTGGGCAGGACTGATGACATTCAGTTCACAAAAATGTTATGTGTTATCAACCCAGAGCAGGGCTAAGGAGCTGTGTTCATTTTTGGCAGATCAACAGCTATTTTACTTACAGGGTATTTAACCACTTGTACCCTTATGAAATTTTTATCATTTTTTCACACAAATAGAGCTTTCTTTTGGTGGTATTTACTCACCGCTGGGTGTTTTATTTTGTGCGCTATAAACAAAAAAAGAGCAAAAAATTGAAAAAAACGTTTTTCTTTGTTTCTATTATAAAATTTAGCAAACAGGTAAATTTTCTCCTTCACTGATGTGCGTTGATGAGGCTGCACTGATAGGCAGCACTGATGGGCACTGATAGGCAGCACTGATGGGCACTGATAGGCAGCACTGATGGGCACTGATAGGCAGCACTGATAGGTGGCACTGATGGGCACTGATAGGCGGCACTGATAGGCGGCATTGATAGGCAGCACTGATGAGGTGGCACTGATGATGGGCACTGAAGATGGGCACTGATAGGCGACACTGATGGACACTGACTGACGGCACTGACTGGCAGCACTGCTGGGCACTGACTGCCGGCATTGCTGGGCACTGATGGGTGGAACTGCTGGGCTGCACTGATGGGCACAGGTGGGTGGCACTGCTGGGCACTGATGGCCACAGGTGGGTGGCACTGCTGGGCACTTGTGGGTGGCACTGGTGGGTGGCTCTGCTGGGCACCGATCATCAGGGCACTGATCATTAGTGCCCTGAGGATCAGTGCTGATCCCTCCTCTGACAACTGCCGGTTCTCAGCAGAACTTTCCTTACGCTGTGACAGCATGAGGAAAGTTCAGCCGATAACCAGCAATTGCATTTCCCAGTGATCAGTGTG